ACAGTAATTGATCAATTGTTATATAATTTGGGATATAGATATTATGAACTCCATGGTTGTGCTGTGTTAATTGTTGTCGTTTTAACAGTGATACTTTCTGGTCTGTCTGTCATAAGTTATGTCTTTTAATTGATTTTACAGTGTTATTTGAATCATATACTTTGGATTATTGTGTTTCTAAGCTATTTGTCCTGTTTGGTCCTTGCCTGTTACGCTTCTAATGTTTCTACATATTCCACAGGTTTTTTCTGGAAATTGTAGGGTAATAATGTGGCATTTTAAACAATACAAAATCTAATTTTTGGTAATTTGTTGACTTGGGCTATAGAAATTTAATCAGGGTTCACATGTAGGATGATTCATAACCCTATAGTTCGCCACTCGTCTTCTATTAGTATTCCTTCTCTATCAGGGGGCTGCAGCAATTGGAATAGAGATGTGCAGCAAATTGTTAAATATGAATGAACATATGATCTTCTGAAGATTTTGAAGCATGTAAGTTACATGCTTGTATGTGAATGTCATAGCCATGGCTTTTGAAGTCTTGATTAATATGTAATGTGTTATTTGTCACCATTGCTGTTACTAATTTGTAGTGCTTCTACATTTTCAATGAATTATATAGCTAGTTCATTCTAAATTGTTATGCTGCCTTAACAGAGCACAAAGGATTATATAGTGCTTCATTTCAATTGTTGAGAGCGGAAATAATTGATTTTTCCCTTGAGTTTCTGTTTTCCTTTTATGCGATGGCTGAAATGCCTGGTGCTTACATTCAGTTTTTATGATTTTATTACTTATATTTACTAGACATGTGATCTCTGTTTTTGTTGTTTTGTTCAATGGGATAATAAATGAAATGCATTCATGTAATATGTAGCATCCTTATTTCTTTTATTTTAGTTTTATTAGTTTTGACTGTTTCTTCACAATTTATTCTTTTATTGCCCTCATTGATCTCATTGGGGTATTGTCAGCTAATGGGTCTAAGCTGCAACACCACCATTAGAGCAATTAGATAATGCTGGAGGGGTCCTTTTCTAATTCTTCCCTTCTGGATGGAAATGAGCATGCACAAAACAGTTTACTTTATTAAATCCTTCTGGTTATTTATAATTTTAAAAGGATTGGCAACTGGGTTAGAGTATCCTAACCTGTTTGTGCATCATAAGGAAAAGCCCCTCCTCCTCTCTCTCCCTACCTCTCAATCAGGTGGTGGAGCAGGGAAGGGCAGGCAGATGTTTTTAAGGTTATTAATGCTGGAAACCGAACACATAAACATAAATCCCAGCTTTTAGTTCCTTTCTCTCACTTGGGTGCAGGTACCACGTTTACCGTTTTGCAGCAACCCCTGGAGCGTAAACAGCTCACTTCCATTAAATCCAAAGCATGTTCACTTTTCTTCACATGGAAAAAGGCAGAAAAAAGCATATTTGCATACCAGTGGAAATACGATTAGCTAGCATGGGATCCCTAATTACCATTCTCCAGTCCTGTAATTGCACCATTAGGTTTATCTTAGCTAGGGAAAATTCCCACTGCTGATCCATGATCAACGCAGCATGTAGCATAACTGAACAATCTTCATGCAAAAATTCTTCACAAGATTACAAACTAGAATCTACGCACGTGGAAGAACCAAACAAGAGAAAAATGGAAAACAAAAGGCAACAGAGA